GTCACAATATAAGATCCACTAACTACGACGTCTTTTTCTTGTGAAGCTGGCATTAATTGACTTTGATTAGTAGTTTGTAAACCATTTGCCTTCGATAGAAAGTTTGTCAATTCAGATAATGAACATCGACCAGTTACTTTATAAAATGGATGTATAGAAAATTCAAAAATATATGCAAACTATTGCACCTACTTAAACATCGTGGTTTAGTAGACCAAACACCATTATTACAAGTATATAATTCGCCAATTGTTGGATCAAGTGTATAACCAACCATGCATGCAAATCGAATCCATCCTAGAATATATCTGATAGGATTCATAGAATTGTTAATGTAATCTCATTACCAGTCACTGTGTTACTCGGCATAGGTGTTAATGACGCATTAGGAGAATATCCATTTGTAATGTTAAATGTTGTGTGATCTAGTGCACAAGGTACAGTATTAACTATAGATGAGGAAGCCATCATATGTGAATCGTGGGCAGTAATCGAAACACATGTGGGAAACGTAGTCCACGCATCATCAATACATGTTATATTAAGCTGACCGCCTGTATGTACATATCCACTATTGCACATCATTGGCACATATGCTCCAGTTAGTACAGTACTATTATCTATTCCATCCGTTGGTAAATTATATTTACCATGGATAGTCATCGTTTTCGTAATTGTTGGATTATTGATGAAAGCGGATACCTCTGCCATGGGACATTTACCTAGTGAAAAATAAATATTTATTTCCAGAAAAGAAAAACATATCGAGATAATTAAGACTTTAATTATTACCGTTGCATACCACGAACAACCATATCAAAAATAAACACAGGTGAAATAAGTGCATGTTTAAAAAAATTTAGAGACACTCAAACAAAGTTTTATATTCTGTTTTGTGTTATAAATATCAGAAAAAAGAATGAATAACGACGCAAATCAGAATTAATCATTGCATAATGCACAAGTGCGCAAGTGTTTCTAATGGACATTATTTCACATCGATGATGATGATGATGATGAAGCACTGACATTGAAAAACAAAGTACGATTTTTTTGCAATATTCATTCAAAAATTGTTCTATTCAGCTAAGAAATATATATTTTGTGAGAATCAATTTCTAGTTTCGTTCAAATGACTTGTACACTATGCTTTTTTATAGATTGATAAAAAAAAAGACGTCGGCTACTCAACTATCATGCTAATAACTAAATTTTTTTGTACATTAGTTGTCACGTACAGAAACATTATATAATTCGCATGCATTGTTTTAATATTGTATGAATAATTTTGCTTAAAATTTGAAATGAGAAAAAGAATATTCATACAAATCAATGATCAATCAATTTGATGAAAAAAAAAGTAACAAGTTAAATTCAAGGTTCAAAAACAAATAAAGGACAGTTATGAAGGATGTCTAGTTAATGATCAAAATATACTTGAAAAAAAAATTAATATATGTCTAAAATCAATGATATCCTCATGAAAATAATTATAAAAATAATTTTTAATTTCGTATCGAATTCCTCTTCGAAAAGATCTATGATACAATGTGATAATTCTTTGTAATGAAATCAATTAATATTAATTCTAGAAAGATTTTCAATTGAGTTTGATCAATATTCAAAAACAAAACAAAAATTTTATTAACATTCTTCATATTTAAATTTCGATCGTCTATGTTTTTTTCATGTTATATTGTGTTGAACTAATATAAATGCAAACTATTCATGCATATACTTTCTAGGTTATTGGTTTTTCATTCAATTCATTGTCATCTACTTATGATTTATATTATTGTCTCAGGATGCATGCGCATCATCGAATCATTGATAAACATTATGTATATATGTATTAATGATGGAATATTAAACAAGAAGGAAAGAAAGAAACAGATACTTCATATGATTATACACGACCTTCTATTTGTATCAATATAAGAAATTAATAATGCTATAAAATAATTTATAATGTTATACCTTTGGAATGAACAGATAAGCTACAAATAATTTTTTTTTTCGCTATCCTTTTCCGTCAAGGTAACTTTGTAAAACGATCTGATTCTGTTTTGTAGTAAAGAATACATACACGAAAGAAAAATGCATGGTAAAAATCAACTACCATGAAAGGACATACATACATATATGCGTATATACAATTGAAGTATAGACACTTGATTACACTTTTTTTTTCTTCTATTGAATCGATATACAATATTATTGTGCTATGTATGAACACGGTAATTGATGACTTTGTTTCTAACAGTCTCAAACAAACATATACATATATTTATATCATTGTCTGAGAGAGTATCTCATTCTAGATGTATAAATAATAAAAGAATATAATCATAAGAAAATGTCTTTAGAAGATGTGTCAAATGATTTGTCAATGGTCAATTGGATTCGTCAGTGTGGTCATGGACATTTACTAGATGAACAAATTCGACCGTCTCGTATTGCATCATCAATACCACCACCAATACCTCCTCGTAATTATAATGATATTGATCCTTATTGTGATTCATATCATCGTTCAAGATCTTTTTCTCGATATGAGAATTTCCATACTCAATCATATAATCCTCCATATAGATGTAATAGTTTTATTTCATCTCCAGCAGAATTTCTAGCACCACGTGCAAATCGATCACATGTTGATATGGATATTGATGTAAGTGAAATTAAATTTTCAATATTAATTATTGAAAGCTTTTTTCTTTTTTTGCAAATAGACAATGCGATGTGAACCAAATACTCGTGTTATACGACAAGCAGCACAAGATGATGTCGTATATAAACAACGAGTAATTAATTTTTTTTTTGTTTATTCTTTTATCTTTAAGAAGAATTAATTATTCATTAATAAAATAGGTATTTGTAAGATATTTACAACCTCCAACTCCACCTGTTGGTGGACCAATTATTGTTCGAGAAAAACAACCACCACCACCACCTCCTGAATCACCTCTTGTAATTAAATATATTTATCAATTAATCAATAATAAATTTTTTTATTTAATAATAGGTTATTAAACGTGCTCCACCTCCACCTCCAACTCCACCACCGGTTACTATTCGTGAAGTTTGTCTATGACAATTTTGTTTTTTTTTTTCTATTCAAGTCAATTATTTCTTATAGCATCCACCACCACTACCACCACCTGAAGGTACTACTATTATTGATAAAATGATTCCAGCTGCACCAAAACCACAGCGTCAAGTAATCGTTGAACAATATCCTCAATTACCACCCAAACCTCAAAATGTTATTATAGAACGATGGCTTCCTATGCCACCACGTAAACGACCTATTTTCTATCAACGTTTACCTGCTCCTACTGTTAATCAGCCAACAAGACCAATGATTATTCAATATAGTCAACCACAAGTACGTATTCAACGTGAAATTCGTACTGAACCTTGTGTACAATATCCTTGTCCACCAGTACCATGTCCTTGTCCACCGGTACCATGTCCTTGTCCACCGGTACCATGTCCTTGTCCACCGGTGCCATGTCCTACAGATATAAATCAAATATTATCACAAATTGGTACAAATCAACATATGTGTTCAACAGTAAATGTTTATTTAAAATTTTTTCTTTCTTTCCTTTTGTTTTATTATTTATTAAGTTACCACCTTCGTCTTTAACGTCATATAATCCATGTTCAACATTACAGCAATGTTGTTGTTGTATAAGTCAACCTCAATCAAATATGGTTATTATGCAAAAAGAACAACAACCATGTACAATACCTTCATCATGTTATGCTATGCCATTAACTTGTGTATGTTCAGCAAAATCAACCCCGGGATTAGGTGGATATGGTTGTGGTATAACAACTATGCCAACTGTTGGTCAATGTGGTAGACAAACAACAGTTTATAATGTACCTGGTAAGGAACGAGAAATGATTTTGAAAATAAACAATTGACTATGCATAATTTCTTCTTTGTTTTTTTTATTTATATAGAAAATATTCCAATTGATAATGTTATGCGTCAATTTGGTATTGATCCATCTTGTATTCAACGTCCAACAAATATGATTCCATGTATGTAACAAATATTGATTGACATTATTATTTTTTGTTTGGATACTTATTTATTAAATACTTTTATTAACTACAATTGATCAGTTTTTTTATTGTTTAGAATTTATTGCTGTTTAAAAATAAATATATATGAATTTTAGAATTGTTAGAAATATTGTTAACATAATGAATAAGATAAAAAAAAAACAGTTCTCTATTAATATGCGACGACTGTTTAGTACAATTTTACATGTGTGGATATAAGAGCGAGTCAGATTGATTTCACATCGAGTCGGATGAGAGTTTGAGATCGATCTAACGGATTATACTCTGAAAAGCAGCAGCTAATTATGACTAGATTTTAATAAGTTCATCATTAAGATTGTCTGAGAAAAGTGTAACGGTGTGTTAGTAGCAGAATACAAACAATTGATAGAAAGTACATAGCGTTGACCAAAAGTTCTGACAACATTAAATAAAAATAATAGGATACTTATAATTTATTTATATAAAGCTTCGTCATTTCTAATAATTTGTCACTTGTCAGTGAATTTTCATTTGTTTGGTTAGTTAAATTACTCTTGATATAATTATTTAGCTAAAAATCACATGGTATAAGTAGATATTTATCGAGCGTGAAGATAAATAAGTTGACTAATGATAGTCGAAAGCTTCTCATTATCCAATACTTCGTCGAGATGTATTACTGTTAGAGTGTGAATATTAGACATTATGAGAAAAATCTCATTGGACGTCGTAGAGGAAAAAGTCTAGTTTTTAATGAAATTATTTCCTATACAACCTGTGGCTTTGTAACTTGAATATTTTTTGATACTAGTCGAAAGTCCGTATTAGGTTAGTTATATTGACACATAACGTGCTTAAAAATTTCTAAAGTCTAGCGAAAGATTAATCGATCAAATGCCTTTTTTAATCACTGATTTTGTATGAAGTTACAATGCACTTTTTAGCCTTCGGTAAGTATTTTGAACTTAATGTTTTTGCACAATTTTCTAGTAAAGACTTTATTTTTTCTAAGAAGATAACTGTCGAGTCTCGACGACGACGACGACGACGAGTTATTGTCACGTTATACTGAACATAAAACTAACGCAGAACTTTTGGGCCGTTCGTTAAGAAGTACGGTTCGTATCCAGATCCGAAAGTCTTTAGTCAACCGAACCTGGGGCTAAAAATTTTGGACTTGATGAACGAGATCTGCGATTTTCATCGTTCAAGAGAGAAGATTCGGAGTCGTCGAAATAGATTGAAACTTAATTTATCAATCAGGCAAACTCTTAGTAGAGATTTTCGAAAACGCTATTCTGAAACTATTCCTGTTTCGATTGAAACTTTTAATAGGACTGGTTGATGAAAAAAACTCTTCTCGTTCGATCTACGCAAGGCCACCTTCTGAAGCTTGTTCCGTCCGAGAGTTATAAAACTTTTCGTGAGATCCCCAATTTCAATCAATTGACTTGTGACTACCCGAAAAAGCAGCTAGACTGGGATAATTCACCATGCTGAGTCGAATAATGCTATTTCTGATTCGACATTTCAAAAATATTGAAATAGCAGTATTAAATCAGTTCGAATCTAAAAATAAATATTACCATTCGACTAACCATGGTGGCTGACTCCTACTTAGCTGCTTTTCCAGATGATCACAGGTCAATTAGCTGAAATCAGAAGTCTCAGAAAAAGTCTTATATCTCTCAAATGGAACAAGCTAGGAATATCAGCCTTGTGTAGATCGAACGAGAAGAATTTTTTCTACTGCTCAGTCTAAATCCAAAGGAAAATGGCTTCGGAATATCGTTTTTGACAATCTCCACCAACAACTCATTGAATGGACCAATCAAATTTGGACCTAAGTTGATGACTCCAAATCTTCTTTCTTGAATGGTGAAGCTCGCAGGTCTTTATGATATTCCTATTAAAAATTATTCAAAAACCAGTAGAGCACATTATGTCGTAAAATGGATAGTAGTCTTCGCACAAATGATTTATTTATTTTTTATCTTAAATATTAGATGAAACTCAATCTTCTAGAAATCGTATTCTTGATCAAAATTTACCATCATCATCAGAAAGATTCGGTGGTTCATCTAGTCTTTTTATTGAAAACCGATAATTCAAAAGAAGATATTCTTTTGTTGATTTTTTGTTATACACGATGTGTTCGAATATTAGTTAATACATGTGGTTCTGGTAAAAGCATTGGATGTAACATAGACATTGAATTTGATAATGTTCGTATTTTTATTGGTTCATAATAGATCGAATTCGAATTTTCTATAGATGAAGATAATGATGGACCAGGATATGGTGGAGGTTCATAAAAATCATTTATTGATATTGAATTTTGTTCTAAATAATTATAAGATGGTGGTAAATCATTAATATCAGATGTTGATATATTATATGTTTGAGATAAATTTAATGAAGAAGATTGTTGTTGTTGTTGTTGCTGTATAATAGATGATAATCTATTTGTCGATGTTCGATTTAAATTTGTATTAAATGATTTATTTGTATAAGAGAAGAATAATTTTGAAGGATTTATACGAATTAAATAAATAAGTATGGAAAAAATTGAAACAAATATTAATATACTAATAGCTAAACAAGCTGAATATCGAAGTGCATCAAAATCATTTGTTAATATAAATGATTCACTCGTAGAACTAATATCAAGGTGAATTGTACTACCTAAAATTTAAAAAGTTTTATTAAGAAAAAAACAATACTGTCGTCTTTACTACTATGTTCGTGTATATACTGTTCACATGCTCGTGTATTTTGATATGTTAAACAAGTAACACGACCATAAGTTGCACATGCAATCCTACAACTAACATTATTTCCTTGTAAACAAGCATAAACATCACCTTGACAATAACCTAGGAAAAAAAGAAAAAAGTTAAAATTGAAATGAAAAGTTTTTTTTTTGTTTATGGAATAAATTACAATTTTGTTCATCTGAATCATCTTTACATTGATTATAACCATCACATACAGATGTCCATGAAATATTTTGACCATTTTTACAAGCAAAAAAGTTATTCATATCTATAAAAAGAATAGTAGTAGAATAAAAATTTCTCATCTTCTTTTCTATTGACAAGAAGAAAAAAATGAATTCTAACTAATTTTATCGAGTGTTACGTTCATTGTGTTAACATGAAGTATTAAAAAACCAATTGTTTGAAAAGAAATTAATTGATTTCATAGTTCTTTTTCTTTTCTCTAGTAACAAACACACTATATAAATATAAAAGAGTTGATTCTACTCTTTCTTCTCACCTTTCGTATATACATTTGTTACTTTTTCTATTAAACAAATAATATCTTCGAAAAGAAAATGAAGATATTGAACTATTGGCAAGACATACAACTGTGTTAAAAAGAGAAGGAGCAACTTCTCGTTGTTATATCATATAAATATTAATTCATTCACTTTCTCTACATGAACCATATATTAAATTGAGTGTAGAATTTCATAATACAATTCTCAAAATGTAGGGAACAAGTGACCGAATAACGGAATAAGTGTTACCATGATAAGAGAACTGTTACTTCTATTTTATTGCTTTTAAAACAATGACATAGAAGAATGAAGAGAAGTTATAAAAATGCGGACAAGAACTCTTTTCTCTTTCTCTTATTCTTCTCATTTTTCTAATGACTTTGTCATCTATATGCTAGTGTAAATTGAGTGAAAACTATTCATAGTTAATTATTTGACAATAAAGACTTGATAACACTAACTATCATCACACATTTTTATGAAAGATTAGTTACAGACATTGTTGATTTTCTTGCTATTCTCTATACTACTCGTGTCTTTTTTTTTCTTTTCTATATGCCTATGAAAATGAAATCTATAGAAAAGAAAAGTTCTAATCAGCACGATTGTGTGATCAGAAGTTGAATGAGAGTGAGAGAAAAAAAAGAAAGAAAGAAATCTAAGTGTCCGATTACTGTATACGTGTTCTATATTGTCTCTACATAAAAAGAGATCTAATCTTTTTGATAGTGCACAAGGACACTTCTCTACTCACCGATAGTATTATGAATCGAAATAGATATTGATCTAATAACATAAGCTTATCATCAACAAAGATGCTTCAAATATAATATTATACAACCAGAAACAGAAAAAAAAAAGATAAATACTGATTTGATATCATCTAGACAAACAGCGTGTTTTCTCGATTGCGGACGCATTTTTTTTTAATGAGAGAAAAAAATGTTCGCATTATGGAAACAAGCAAAAATAGATATAGTAAGACGATCAGTGTAGATAGTTCGATTCAAGGGCATCCACCTTCTTTTCAGGGTTTCTGAAGAAATCAGAAATATTTGAAACGTTCAAGATAGATAGACTTCGATGAGTAGAACAAAAGTTATCATAGACTTCAAATTCCTAAATACTTTCTTCTAGGAAATATCTGGATTGTAAAGACTAAAAATCGTCTCATTTTCTCAGCTTCAATAAGTCCGGTAGAGTTAAAATTATTTTTACGGATATTAGACATTGTTTGAGGTACCTACTTTTTTTTAAAAATTTCTTTCCATTCGGATCAAAATATTAAGCCTACTTTCAAAAATACAGACTTTTTGTTACTAGAGCGTTATTGTAAAATTTGCCAAAAATTAACGGTGCAATATTTTTCAAAAAAACCAAACAGTGTTCAATATCTGCACAAAAAAGCTCAGCGATTCTGCACCTTGTTCGTGTAAATATTCATTTCGAAAATGAAAAACAAATTTTCTTGTATGTATTAAGACTTTTTTTCTTCAACTAAAATGATCGAAAATTGACCGTGTTAGAGATCCATGACCTATGCTCTCAGCACCTTTAGAAATTGCCATTCAGGAGAATTTTGTATATTAAAAATAATCGTAGTACGGAGTTTTCTTCTAGGAATTTTGAGAGTTGGATTTAATAAAAGTATTTACTAAAGAAGAGCTATGGTTTATATAGCATTTCACATAGGATACTTCGAAATTATATATTTTGATTCAAACAAAGCAATAATATTTCGTTGATTTTAATAGTTATCAAATGAGATTGTGTTCTTTCTTCTAATTGATATATCAAAGAATTCAATACAACTAACAAGAATGATCTTGATTATAAACATATTAAAAATTAGATATTCAATTATGTTCCATTAATGATGTCTTTTTCTACATTATAAATCATGTCTTTCGCTCTCCGATTCTACTTTGTAAAGATGTTTTCTTAATTGATCAAATAAATGTTCGCAAACAACTACTGACTTGATCACCAAGAAAAACATATACACCATATGTTTATACATCATATAAACAGTAATTATACCACATATGACCGTTGCAGGCGAAAACGAGACATACTCATCTTTCATTTGACTTTGATTCTTTACAAGGGTTATTTTAATGAATAAGTTCTTTTCTAAAACTCCGGGATAGATTCTATGGCATGACTTGCATTTTTGGTGAATTTTTCAGCAAAAGCGAATTCCAAAAATCTTCTCCTTAAAAACGGACTTTCTAGAGGTTTTGAAAAAGAATTTGTATCGTTTGGAACTTTTCATTCGGGTATAACAGAATTTTTTTCGTTTGTATATTCGCATTTCGTCAAATCACTAACGCTAGTTTTCATTACTGATAATTCCTTTGAACAAAGGTCTCTAGCACTGATTTTTTCGTGATATCTAGAGTGGCTTAATATACATGTAATATATAAAAAATAGCGCTAGAAAAGTTCATTATTCTGAGATAGATATGTTTCAATTTTACAAAGTCACGTCGTTAACGAAAAATGTTTTCCATACAGAAACTTATTTAACTATCGAATCGAATCGAAATATAAAGCGCGAAATATTATATTTTTTATTTTTTTTAATTTATGTCCGATGTATTAAAACTTGAAGTACCATTAGGTGATGCACTTCGAAAATCTAAATTAAAAGGTATAATATCAATAATAAGTTCATTGCAACCAATAAATAATGATAAAATCGAAATAAAAAAAATTGAACAATCTGATAAAAATACATTATTAGATAAAATTCAAATAATAGCAAATCGTTTTATAACAATAAAACGTTTAGGTAGTGGTGGATTTGGTGAAGTATGTTTGGATTATTTATTATTGTTATTATTTTTTTTTTCTTTTATTAATAAATTTTATTATATCAATTAAGGTTTATTTAGCTAAAGATAAAAATCAAAATGATTTATTAATTGCAATTAAATTTGAAAATTTAAATACTTCACGTCCACAATTATCAATAGAAAAATATGTTTTTGAAATAATGTATGAAAGTATTTATATTCCAAAAATGTTTTATTTTGGTATACATAATGAATATACAGTTCTTGCTATGGATTTATTAGGACCTTCAGTTGAAGATTTATTAAATTTTTGTGGAAGAAAATTTTCTTTAAAAACAATTTGTATGATTATAGAACAAATTTTACGTGCTATTGAAGCATTACATAATCATTCACTTATTCATCGAGATTTAAAACCTGATAGTATGTATAGAAAAATAAATAAATAAATCTAAATATATTTTCTAATATTTGTCTTAATCAAATAGATTTTTTATTTGGTCTTGGAATGAAATCACATATAGTACATTTAATTGATTTTGGTTTATGTAAAAATTATCGTCATCCATTAACATATGAACATATATTATATCGAACTGGTAAAACTTTAACTGGTACAGCACGTTATTGTTCATTATATACACATCATGGATTAGAACAATCAAGACGTGATGATATTGAATGTTTATCTTATATAATTATTTATTTAGCTAAAGGTTTTTTACCTTGGATGTCAATAAAAAATTCAAATAGAAAAAAACGTAATGAAAAATTAATGGAAATAAAAGAAAGTTTAACATCAAAAGAACTTTATTCAAATTTACCATATGAATTTGAATTATTTTATAAATATTCAAGAACATTATCATATACACAAAGACCAGATTATGGATATTTAAGAAATTTACTTATAACATTAATTAATCGTCTTAAAGAAAAATTTGATTATATTTATGATTGGCATTTAATTGTTAAATTATTTAAAGAAAATTTAGATGCTGGAAGACCAATTTTACTAAAGAAAAA